CCAAGTCCCTGCTGGATCAGCCAGTAGAGGGCAGGAGCACCTCATGAACAGCATCCTCGCACCCGTCTGTCATGGACCGGTTCTCTTCTCTTCCGAGCCATGTGACGTTGGTGAGCCATGAGTAGAACGGGCCTGATTCTCTTATCCCACGGTTAATTTAGGATTGATTCTGCCGGAAATCAAAGGAGTCGAATCTGTATGAAAACCGACAGGAGCATTGACCCCTCGCATGCGCGCACTGTTTCTAGCTGCCCAGGCGTCTAGGAGAACAAGCCTTTGGAAGAGCTTAGCCCAAGTGGCTGGTGCACAGCGAGGGAGGTGGGGAGCTCTTACACAGAAGAGCTAATTCCAACCCACGCAGGAGCACAGATGCAGCTAGGTGACACAACCATGGCATGTTAATTCTGCCCTTTCTTCACCTCCTCCACTGGGATCTTTTCAGTCACTCCCTTAACCTGCTAACACAGGCAAAAGCTGCAAACAGCTGTTTCTTCACTAAGCTGTTGTGGCCTATTAACAGCCATATTGTGGGTCTGATCCATGATCCATCTGACTCTGACAGTGGCTTGGACCAGAGCATCAGCTACAGAACAAATGGCAATTTTGGAGCGATCCACCCATGTGTCACCCTCTTATCTACAAGCAGGCAAGTTAAAGAGGGGGTTGCAGCCCTGAACAGTTGCCTAATCATCTCTGATGGACCTTTCCTCCCGGAACTTATTCAGTTCTTTTTTTTTTTTTTAACCCAGTTCTATTTTTGGCCATTACAAATTCTTGTGGCAATGAGTTCCACTGGTTAACGGTGCCGCATATGTAAAAATATTTCCTCTTGTGTGTATGAAATCTGCTGCCTATTAACTTTATCAGGTGACTCCTGTTTTTTATCACCTGGGAAAGAGCAAATGACACTTTTTCCTCCCTTCCCACAACATTCATGATTTTATAACCTCTGTCACGTCTGCCTTTAACGGTCTGTTATCTAAGACATACAGCCATGATCTTTGTTAGTGTCTCCTCAAAAGGATGCCATTTCAGACCCTTGATCGTCTTTGTTTCCCTTTTCTGAATCTTTTCCAATTTCACCAAGGCGCTGTCTACATTGGCATGATTTTGCACAAAAGCAGTTGCTTTTGCGGAAAATCATGTTGCCTGTCTTCGCTGGTGGGAAGTTCTTGCGCAAGAACACTGACATTCTAATGTGTTAAATCAAGGCTTCTTGTGCAAGAACTATGATGCTCCCACTCAGGAATAAGCCCTCTTGTGCAATTGTTCTTGCACAAGAGGCCAGTGTAGACAGGCAACATGAATTTATTGCGCAAGAAAGCCTGATAGCGAAAATGGCCATTGGAGCTTTCTTGAACAAGAGAGTGTCTACACTGGCACGGATGCTTTTGCGCAAAAGCACATGCCAGTGTAGACGCTCTCTTGCACAAATGCTTTAACGCAAAAACTCTTGCGTTAAACCCAAATGTTTTTGGCGATGGGGCAACCAGAACCGAACACACATGCGAAGTGTGGTGTACCGTGGATTTATATTATGGTAAACAGAGATGAAGAATTTAACCGGTTAATTTATAAGCTAGTTAAATTCTGCCCCTTCCTGCAGAGCCGATTCTGCTCCCAGGGAACCCCCCCCCCCCACATTGCCTTGTGAAGCCTGCAGTGCAGTGCAGCTAGCTCCCTGGGCGTGGGGCTAGCCTGTCCCTCCCAAGTAAAGTGGTGAACCATGTAACCGATAGGATGTTTAATGGTTACACAGTTCCAGGTGGTTTCGATTTTTTCATCCCTAGCGGTAACGTGATCTTTTTCTTCTTTTCTCATCCTCTCTGACTTGTTGCTAACGCTCTGTTTGACTGTTTGCTGTGCGTTGAGCTGAAGTTTTCACAGAAATACCCACAGCGATTCTAAGATTCCACTCTTGAGTGGCGACAGCTAATTAAGTTATCACGCCTCAGTCACCGCCGGGTAGGAACACACACACTCTGTGTTGCCCTCGTGAAGAGAAGGAATAGAGCTCAGATTTTACAAGGAGCTTAAGGATATGACTCGCGAGCATGTTACACCCAACCTCTGACTCAGTACCCAGGGCCCTGCCATAATAAAGAGGTCACGGTGTACATAAAACTCTACAGGCCCACTGCACCTAACCGTGAGCTCAGATTTTACATAACACCGCACGGTGGTCAACGTCCAGGTGGTCAGAATTTTATTACTCAGGCAGGTGACTCGGATGTCCTGGCCCTTGATGTGCTGCTTGAAAGTTCAGTGGTTGACGTGGATGTGAGGAAAAGTTGCTTTTCATCCACCGCATCGCAAGGTGCCTCTGCCCTGCAAGCCGCTAGCCTTCTTGTACGACAATAAGTCATAGTTGTGAGCAGGCCCCCATGCTTCAGTGCTCACAGAGCTCCCTTAAATCCGTGGCGCTCAACTTTTCCAGACCCCTGTGCTCCTTTCAAGAGTCCGATCTGGCTTGCAAACCCCAAGTTTCAGCTCACCTAAAATAACTTGCTTGGAAACACAGCTGTAAAAATACCACCAGATGTCACCGCACACTGGTCCTGAAAAAATGGTTCTTTTTTTTTATCCTGGATTATAAAATCACTTGGAATGTAACCATTGTGCTTACATGTCAGGGTATTGGCTACACTGCAATAGAAACCGGTCATTGTACGAACTTTTAGTTTGGGCTGGCATTGCCAGGGCGTTTATGTAGCCTGGTATAAAACTAGGCAGTGAGGTAGAGGAGTTGATGTACCTCTGTATATCCCGCGGGGGATCCGTAGGTCTAGTTGGGAACCACTACGTCCAATGCCAAACCAGCAAACACCCCACCCTTCGCTTTTGGCTAAGGGCGCGCCTTGGAAGGTGCAGCTCTCCCAGGGAACGTGTAGAGGAGCAAACCTGCAAGGACAGGTTTGGGCTGCCCTGCGTCTGCACTTGGAGCTGGTGCTTTCTGTAGCAGAAGTGGGGCCCTGGGTGTGAAGTCGGCGTTGGCTTTTTTCCAAACAAAAGAGGCAGGTTTGTTCACGCTCAGCTGGGGAAGAGAGAGCGGCTCCGTCGGCTGATGGCTAGGGCCCAGGCCGGGAATGGGGGAGACCCAGGTTTGCTGCCAGAAGCAACCGGAGCGGAGAGGAAAACATCTGCTTGGAACGAGGCTCAGGAGGGACTTATGCACCCCCCCTCCGTGCCCCTCCCCCCCTTCCTTCCTTCCGCACCGTGCACCCTGCCATGCAGTGGAAGTGCAGCCCTCCAGTCAGCTGAAGGCGAGACAGGCCGGGGACACCAGATGGGTGGTCGGTAAGGGTAGTGCCCGGAGTCTCTGCCTGGCTTGGCGGAAAGGCCACCACTGTCCCTCCCTCACTGCCAAGCTGCTCTTGCCCTCTGCCTTGAAGCTGCCTCCCCACCCCCACCGGAAGTGGCCTGCTTGCAGCACAGGGTGGGGGAGGTGAAGAGGGGGACCAGGATGTCAGGGTGTTTCATCCCCCCCCCACACACACACACACACCTGGAGGGAACTTGCTGGCAGCTGCTCCCGTGTCACACACCCACAC